GGGGGGGGGGACTATACCTTTCTCCGGAGGGGAGTGTGGTGGGGGTTGGAGGTATTTAAATGGAACTGATTGGATTAGTAGTTTTTTGATTTTAGAGTAGGACCATTCGAAATTTATACATTGATTTTTAATTTAAAAGGGTGTAAACATATATTGTAGATTTAAATTTTCTCTATGTTTATCTATCTAAATATGCATCTATGGTGTGTAACTATGGTTTGTCTCTATGGCGTGTGGCTATCTATCTAACTATGTATCTATGGTGTGTAACTATGGTTTGTCTTTATGGCGTGTATCTATCTATCTAACTATGTATCTATGGTGTGTATCTATCTAACTAACTATGTATCTATTGTGTGTATCTATGTTCTGTATCTATGGTGTGTAACTATGGTGTGTATCTATGTTGTGTATCTATCTATCTATTTATGGTGTGTATGTATATTTCTGTCTATCTAACTACGGTCATATGTACACTATACTGTGAAGAAATCAAGATTTCAAGGTTACAATCATTGAACACTATGTGTAGATATATAGATGCATGGATACATAGATAGATAGATACAAAGGTGGGTAGATAGATAGATATCATAGAGAAATTCTGAGAACAGCAGATTAACTTTAGACCGGGGGGGGGGGATTTAGTTGTATGATAACATAGAAACGTATTTCCCGGATTTTGAAGGGACTTTCATTGTAATGTCAATTCCCCTTATCTAAAAAGAAGCCTATGCCCAAAAATAACAATGGAATAACTGGAAATTAACTTGAAATTATGGCTACAGTCACTTTTTGGGGAAAATTTTTCATTCTGAATTTTTGTTGGACTAATACTCGCCCAAATCGCAACTGTTTATAACTCTACAAGATCAAATAGTCAAGGTTTACACTTTCAGGTTGCAAAGAAATAAAGATGAGACAATTAGGTCAACACGTTTTTTACGCCGCCTCTATTTTGTTGTCATAATTTCCTTTCTAAATTTTGTGTCTTTAACAAAAAGTAAAATTTTAACTTTTTAAATTTTGGTTTAAAATAAAGAGACGAGTTGATTTCTAGGAGCCAGTTCTGTACTAGCTAGTGAGTGCAATATTTCATACAATGACCTCGACCTTATTTTCTCGGTCGATCTGACCTCACAGAAGCAGTATGAACAGGTCAAACAGGTGGTCCTTGACAGCCTGCTGGACCTCTTGCCGGAGGGGACCTCCAAGAAGAGGATGTCTGCCAGTACCTTGAAAGAGGCATACGTCTCTAAAATGGTTAAAGTGAATGAAAACGACCGTTGGTCCCTAATTGCCCTGGGAAACAACAGAACCAAATCTGTCGAACTTAAGTTTGTCGATCAAATGAGACGAAAATACGAGTTCTCTGTCGACTCCTTTCATATCATACTGGATACATTATTCCTTTTCTACGAATGCGCGAAAATGTCGATATCTGAAAACTTTTATCCCACAGTACTTGGGGAAAGTGTTTACGGGGATTTCGACGAGGCATTATACCATCTTCAACAGAAACTGATTGCTACTAAGCACCCGGAGGAAATACGAGGTGGTGGACTTCTCAAATACTGCAATCTGCTGGTTAAAAACTATAGACCAGCGTTACCGGAGCAATACAACAAAATGGCCGTTTTACACTTTTTTCTAGTAAATTCCTCTCTATATATTCTATTCTCTATGGATAAAATATAAATAATTGATTCTAACATTGATTTATTGACAAATTTTTATACATCATTTAAACGTTTTATATATCTCAAATAAATCCCATAAAATTTCTCCACAATACTACATAATTCTCCACTATACATTGCCGGTCACTCTCTTTAATTGTAAATTTTGAGGTAAATCTTCGACTAAAAAAATAATTAGTTGTCTGGAGTACTTTTTTTTTATTGTTCCAAGAATTTACATATATTTAAATTTAGGAGTTGAGAAAACATTTATATAAAGACACAAAAATATTTCTCCTTTATAAAAAAATGCGTTAAATGCAGCGAAACATGTAGAAATTAGAATTTAGTATTCTAGTGAAAAATATATTCCATTGCGTTAGTTCAAAAAAGGGATTTCCGAAAAATTCTTGTCTTTTATTTGTGTTAATCTATTGTTTCTTTTGTTAAAGCAAAAGGTAAAAGGTAATTTAGCATTGTATTATTTTTCATTGGAGTTGGGGTAGGGAGGGGGGGGGGGTATATGTTTGTATATCAGTATAAAACTTAACTGAAACGAAGCCATAAAAGAATAAAACCACATTCTCGTTTCGTCGATTCTCTAAACATGCTCTCTTACACTTTACTCACGTTTCTTCGCCTCTCCCTCCCTCGGGGTTTAAACTTCAAAACGTAAAAAACGTTGTTATTTCGAAGTTTTACATCTGTGACTTTAGTTAATGATCGTAATAAGTAAAATGGAATTACAGTTATTATTTATATATATATTCTTAACATATTTTTTTCTTCTAAATGATTGTCCGTAATCAAAATTGTCTATAGGAAAAAACGACCTCTAACTCTTTTAAAACTGATTCTAATATATTAAAAAAAATTTTTTTGATTTTGCCAAATTATAAAAGTATAAAATTTTATCCTTGGTTTGGCTTTGTTTTTACTCTGCAAAAATTTAGAAAAATAAATATAATTAATTATTTTGAAATCTGCGAAAATAATGTATTCTGTGAAACAATCATAAATCTCTTAAAAAAAGAAAAACATATCTTTAATAACATGCTCGGAAGTTTTTTTCCGCACTGACTTTAGAGAAAATTTTTGATTAGATAAAAAAAAATGCAATAGTTTTAAGGGTGAATACGAATTTTAAATATTCAAATAAAATACTTTAAATATATCCTTAATAAGGAACACGGTTTTAAACTGTTCAAACTTTTTTCTAATTTAATTTTTGTTGCAGGTGAAAGGAATGGAAAGATACATGTGCAGCAGATTCTTTATTGATTTCCCAGACCTCACCCAGCAGGAGAATAAATTGATCAAATTCCTAGACAATCATTTCTTAGGTGAGTTTAGTTTACTAGGCTTTCAGAGCGCTTCACGCCCATCTTCTGTTTCAATTGTGAACATTTTCTCTTTTTTAAACATTGTAAAATATTAAAAAATTTCGCGGATTTTATAAAAATATTTTATGGATTTTCAAAATTTAATGAAAATAAAATTTTGTATGAGGCTAGTTTTTGTAAATTTTGATCATCCATTAACCTTTTCTGGGGTCATGAGAGGTCCCACACAAAAAATTTGGCCCGATCGGTTTTGACGTTTATTGGATATAAACAAACAGACACCCAAATTGACAAAGCAAAGTGTACATGTAGAGATGTATAAATACGGATGCATTTAGGAAGCTGTTTTAGCTTTTAACTGTTGTTGCACTGAGAGCCGCCATTTAAAATAGTTTTTAAATATTCGCTGATTTTTCTGTTTAAGTTGGGGAATTTTTTAAAATAACAGTTTTTGACATTATATAATAAATATATTTATGTACACACATATAGAAGTATAGATCGTTTATATAATACAGATTTACTGAATAAATTAAAAATAAAAAAATATAAAATATTTTGTTTAGTATTAGTACAGCTAAATATGAAAAAAAACGTTTAAGATTGAACGAAAATGATCAAATTTTCCCAAAATCTAGAAGGTGGCACTGAGCACCGTCTAATCTTTAATCATGTATTGAATTCCAGTGAATTTGTTTCTTGTTTGGTTAGGTTAGACTGGCTGCAGCAAAAACAAAAATATTTTCCGACTTTTCTCCGCGGTACATAAATATTTTTAAGATCCGGTTTAAAACCTTTTTGTAACCCCCCCCAGCATATCCTGGTTTTCAAGTACCCCAGCAGGGATACGGTTAACTTTTTAAAGTCTGTTTCACTGTTAAATAAACCACAACAGCTCGCTGTGGTTTAACTTTTTGCCAGTCTTCCTTAATTTAATATCATTTCCCCTTTTTTATATTTAAAAAGAAACTTTGATATCTTTATTCTAAAATGTGTATTTTATAAGACATAAAACAATTTGAAGCTTTAATTAATAGCTAGATATACATTTATGTAATGTATAAGTATGTATTGATATATATATATTTACTTTGCTTGTCTATCTGTTTTTCTGTCCGTTTGAATTCAATACACGTTGAAACGGCTGAACCGATAATTTTGTGTAGGACCTTACATGACCCCAAGGAAGGTTTATGAATGCTTAGAATTACAAAAGTTGTCTCCAACAATTTTAGATTTTTGTAAAGCTTTGATCGAATAATGACAAAAAAATAGTAAATCCGCAAAAAAACATTTATTTTTGTTTTATCTGAATGCTGAAAGATTGCGCAACTATTAAAAGTTGAAACAGAAGATGGGCGATAGCCTTGTACATATATAACATGCATTTTGTAGAATACTTATAACATGCATCTAGAAGTCCTGAATTTAAGACAATTTCTTGGATGGAGTCCAAAAACTGACTCATTCTAAAATTCCTCAGATAGAATGCCTAGTAGTAGAGATTGAACATGTAGTGCCATCTTTCATACTAGTTCTGGGCATTAACTAGTTTTTTTTAATACTTTTTCAACTTTTAAGACGCTAACTGTTTTGGTGTTTTGAAACTGCAAATTTTATTTCTGTTCTTCGCCTGATAATTTAAATTAAGCTATAGCTAGGAATTGACTCTTTGCCACAAACTCAAATGTTCTAATCCCTATATCTTCACATTCTAAAGGCCAACAACATAGATAATAGGTCGTCATTAAATTCTAATGTTTTGTGGGTAACCCTGTACAATGTACATCCTATAATAAATGGTTGGTTTGACCTCTTCCCCTTCTAAACCTTCAAATTGTTCACCTCTTCCAAATTTAGTAACTACAGGCTTAGTGTTTAAACACTTCAAAACTATATTAAAATACATATATACATACACTACATCACAATGTATTATATTCAAAATTATCGTAAATATGCCAAGGAGAGGGGGGGGGGGTAAAAGTAAAG